TCACATTCTACGAGAGTATTTTTTACTTGGTACAACACAGTGAGTGATACATAGAACAATTTTATAAGGAATAAAAGTAGTTCTTACAAATGTACATAATGTTTAAATTCTATTTTCAAATCGATGTTTTATATTCTCAGTAGAAATGCTTAAATCGCTCAAAAAACGACTGATAAAATATGATGAATTTTTTTCTTTATCATTCTGAGATGTTTGTGATGTCTTCTGTCTATATCATATGCTTTTCCAATATCATTTTAGTTGAATTTTCGGACATCTTGAACTGCACAAATGTCTGAAATTTTTATTGATATTGAATCGGTTTGAAATATTTGAGTTTACAAATACTCATTCTCAGGTTATTTGGCCTCTATTTAACAGAACTGGCGAGTTTCCTCTGTATTATTTTCCACTTATTTGCCCTTGTGGTCAATACAGAAAATATTTTGACTCAGTTGAATGCTTGATAGGGTTTCACTTTGCACTTAAACTACGGAGCGCTTTCAAATTGCTGTAATTAGCAAGAAATTCAGGTGAACATGACGGTGTTGAGTGCTACTTGTGTATAATCCACACAGTTTATTACTTGAATCTGTTGAACATTCATCGAAAGGCGACCTCATAATGAATGCATGTTTGGGATGATTCTGAACCTGCAGCTCTTCAGTTTCTTTGATTTACATCGAATATTTTGTTTACGGGCGCTGCTACTGCATGAGCCAATACTTTTTCATTGGTTTATACATGGCTTTTAGATTCGGGAAATTTACACAGATAAATTACTCTCGTCCTAATGATATGTTTTCCATGAGAATGTAAATTATAGTTAAATATGCAACTGTATGGTAATAGTAGTCACAACATAACTCTAGATTCAGTGGAGAAAACGAGCAATTCATGTAGATTTCTAGGCAGTATGACTGCATCCAGTGTACACTACAGGACTTGAATGACACGTTAAAACGGACACTTTCAGAAAGGACTGATTAGAATGTGTGAACAGCCCTTTGAAATAGTTGAAAACCATCAAATCATAGTAAATTTGGAAAACTAATGTGATCACAGTTGTTGATTCTGTGCACATCTGAAAATATTTAGAAGGCGTCATTAATTGCCCTTTCCCAAACAGCTGACACAACAAGCATTGTACACCATTATGCTCAGAACACCTCAAAAACGTCTCAAGACCGGTTAAATTCGCAGCACAAATTTACTAATAGCCTAAAAAATACAATATTCGATACTGATATGCTGTTTCTGTAATAGGTTACTTCGACGATATTGATTAGACTGGATATAATAATAATAACTGTCAATGGTCAAAGTTTGCATCAAATGCTCATCAAACTTTAGAAAGAGCTATTATAAGGAAAAATCTTAGAGTCTCGGTTTTGAGGTAAATCTGTGAATCAGGTCGTGGCATTTCTTGATAAGCTTTCGAACTTTTCTCTTGAAGTGAAGAGAGATTACAGCATCATAGTATTAAACTGTTTTCAAGGAAAAGACATTGGCAAAAATGATGCAATAAAGCACACATACTCTTCAGCATTCAGTTTTCATCAGTAATCATAATCGAAAAACCTTGATTTGAAAGATGAGTTAAAAAGTGAACTCTGATCCATGTAAATAATTGTGAAAGAGAAAGCCATCTTGATGAGTATGATATCAAAACTAATTTGGTTACCTAAAGGCTAAAAGAAGCATTACAACAAATCAGACGCAACAATATTGCTACCTTGACAGCAACCTTGTATTTATGCGGATTCTTCAAAAACGAAATCAGGTTTGATACCCAGAAACTGTGCTTTTGGGTGAATAGTGAATATCGCTTCCGTTTCTAGGTTTTAATTAAACGAACTCTTTTAGCTGAATGATTCTGAAGACTCATAATGAAGAACTTATTCACTTGGCAATACCCACTATTTCTGAATGCTTGCCTATCGGATATTAGTAAGGTATTATACCTTTCTTACCTACATTTTAATCTGGATTTTTCTGTATTTCCAAAGTCACTTTTTTAACGGAAGCTGGAGGAAATAAGAGATATTGAATTTCGTCACTGACATTTCATCCACTAATTCACGAATGATTTTCCTCAGATTGCCCTCCATATGGGAATAGTATGATTGGTGAATCGTTAATCATTAGGTCTCATCAGTTGTCAAAGTGCGTGTTTTCATAATTCGTGGAACCAATTCTTCTCAAACCTAAATTCTTATTTTATAACAGAAAGTTGGGCTGACGACTCATTTTATCACAAGCTAAAATCGGCACTATAATTTGACAAGAGGAAAAGCCCTCCAAATCATGAAAGTCGTTGAAACCGACTAATAACTCAGATTGAACGTGTTCCATCTGTTTATGTAATTTAATGCAAGTTTATATGACTTTTCTGATAGACTATTTATACAAACCAGTAGTGAACGATCCGGTATCACATTACGCTATCTCCACACGTGATTCGTCAAAAAATGTCTGATACCCTATTAGAGAAACATTAATCAAGTGTAAATGAACAGACTTCCGTGTTGATATCAGCAAAAGTTTGATAATTTTAATACGAAAGAATAAAGACGTATAGATAAATCTCAATCACGTACCGAGGTTTTAGAGACTCTTTTGGAATTACGGTTGGCAACTTTTTGCTTTCCTGTTGTTCTGCTGTGTGACGTCACTTGATTGTTTCATCATTATATGTTAGGTCCACACCTATTTAATTCTACATATTTTCAGGTAATGGATTATTGGGTGGAATTCCTTGCAATCTATTTCAATTACTTCTAACCGCCTTAACATAAGTGATTATTGGGTGTTTGTGACATACGAGTAAATTAAGAGAATATTTCCATTGTTATAATATTTTATTAATTACTGTTTGTAGTGTTCTTAGTTAATTTACACTGCTGCCTCAGGTAGTTGAGGAAAAGCAGATTATGAAGTAATAATAACGAAAGATTTCAGTTAAGTTATTTTTCAAAACAAACAAACGATTATATGTATAAAATAATTTCAAGTTTTTATAGCATTCCTCTGGTTTGACAATTAATAATCAAGTCATAATCGTGACCTGTTGTGTTATTCCTACCATATCATTATCATAACAGTTACTCCTATTCAACGCAAAAGAAGTACGCTCACAACTTCATCATAGTTAAGCCTGAGTCTTCCTTCTAACCTTCTCTAACCATCTAATATTAATGTAATGTGTTATAACGGAAGTGAACACATTGTTTCATCGTCTTAAGCTATTGAATTGAACTTTACCTACCAGACTGACAGGTGCAGCTTTGAGGGAGGTAAGGAGGTGAGACAAAACTATGTTCCATTTATTTGTCATTATGATATTTAATTTATGACATGTCTGTAAAATTTTCACACAAGCTATGAGTAATAAGTAATGTCTACTATTGAAAAATTATACGCCGGTATCAATATTTATTAAAGTGGACATATTCAATTTGTGTCGATTACTTTTGAATGAAATCGACACAAATTAAATATCTAGAGGGGGAATTTCATGTAACTGCAGGATACACCAGTGTTTACTAGCGAAGTTATCTTTCGGCAAACTGATGTACAGATATGGTTAAGTACAAAAACCTCAGCAATAATTACTGTTTGCACATGCTTTCCATATTCTACTTTGTCTGTTTAGCTTCCAGGATTCAGTCATTTCTACAAATTGCCATTAATATAGTCCCTCATTAATCAGGACATTAAACACAATGTAATACTTAAAGAATCTCGTCAGTAGTAGTTGCCTAAGTTAGGTCAGTGTCACTGGTGGAAAGTTGCATCAGAGTTAATCGTAAATACAAAATTGAAACGAGTCATTATTAAGAGTAGCTGAAAAATCATGCCACGTATTTCTACCCCATTTATTGCTTGATTGTATACTAAAAGGCCTACGCCTTGGGGGAATAAACGCTTACAATAGTGTCATTGCCAGACACTTTATCAGTACAGTTCGTGTGGTGGACATAGCAAAATACTGTAAATTAACAAAAGACAAACTATTTAAATCCTTCTCAAGTTTGCCGAAGTAATCACTATCAAGCACCCGAAACCCGAATAAACTATTTAGAAAGAAGTGGTTACCATTATCTACTTGCCCTGGTAACAGGATACCTTTATTCTCTCTTTAATGTCATTAAGTAAGCTCTGGCTACAACCTCACGTCATCTTTTCACACAATGTAACCTTGTCTCCATGGTTCCCATTGAACTCACTATATTGTTACTCCATTTATTAGTTTCTCATCGTCTTGCTAAGTGATTGTCTTTATTACTTTACGTCTTTATCACAGTGTGCAAATACTTTTTTTTCCAGGCTTCAGCTCCTCAACTAGAAGTTAAAATAGTGCCACTTTCTGAGCACTGCTTATTAAGTTTCCAGTCCCCTGTCAACTGATTGGTGATTGGATCCCACAATTTGTTAATCTGTGGTAGATTCAGACAAACATACCAATGGCCTTATTAAAAAAAATTAAATTCAGGAAAAACTTGAATATATATGGCTGACATTCAAATAATATCATATCAGCTAATTGTACATCAGGACTGACAATGCGTTTTAGAAATCTGGTTGGTTGTTCACCTATGTGATAGACTGATGCAGAGATACGTAGTCAATGATTAAAAATATACGTGTATACATATAAGATGAATAAAATCCATAATATCTTCGCTTTTGAACAGAATAATATTCTCATAATGATGATACTGATGACGATAATTATGATTGCGATTCTGATATTCATGTATTTGGAATACAATCACCGCGGAAATTTCATGATTGTTACAAATGCAGACTTTTCTCATATAGTGGGAATGACAGTCAGTTGTTAAAAGAGAATATAGGAAAAAGGCAGTCGAAAACAATTAGCGATTCAAAATATTTCAAACGTGTAGGTCGAATCGATGTTGAAGACAAATGTATTAGGTAATTGTATTCACTCTGATACTCGTTGTGATTACTACGATTATTGTATTAGTTGGTAGTTTCTAGTAAGTTTCACAACTTCTTTTCAAAATGAAAATTTTAATCTTCAGTGTTCATTTCCAATTGGAAACAAAAATGGCAATCTTGTGCGTAGGAATTCTCAGGTAGGATTGCTTTCAAGTATATCCAATATGAGCATGTTGGTGTGGAATCTTTAATGTCATTTGATACACTTCAGGATTCACTGAAATCTAACGACAAATACAATGCTATCATTCTTTTCTCACGGATATCAACACCATAATGCAGAAAGATATTCTCCTTGAAATCATATCCATTGAATATGCATTCAGTTTTATATCAGTGTACAAATTAAACAATTAATGACTTCCTGATTCTTACCCTTCCACTCGTATACAAGAAAGTGATAACCAACCAACATTTTGCTAGAAACACAAAGAATATTCAAATAAGTAAAAGGGATCTGTTTGATGCCAAGAGTCGGAGTGAAACTGATAATTTTTAAACTACTCAAGGAGAGAAGATTAAGATTAAGAAGCAGTTTGCCTAGCCAGATCGGCATCACCTCACCATCCATCCATCATTCCACTCGTTTGAGTTACAGGTCATGTGTAGTTTACTCAAGTTGACCAACTAGAATGCACTTATATTTGAGCTGGTTAGTTTCTAACCACTCATAGCAATGGTAAGCACACATCGTGAAACACTTTACCAAGTTCGTGTATTTCGAGGTTGTTTTCACGTCCGTAGAGATACTGTTTGTGGAAAAATTTGGGGAAATAAAGTAATAATAATTACAAGATACTTACTTCACTTCTGTTCACTTTTACTTCCAATTTTCATTGAATTCAGCGTTTTAGCTGTTATAGTTGTCTTCGTACTTCTGTTTGTGGATGCAACACAAGACAAACCTTTCATTGGATTTATATTCCTATGCTTATATGTAAGTTATATCACTACATGTATATGGTGAGTAATATAATTCATTCTTCATTTTTTTACCTCCCTAACTGCACAGTCACAACAAGTAGAAATCACAATTCCTCATACAACAACAAGGAGAAGATTGATGGCGATGATAATAAGCGTAGTAACAGTAAGAGCAACATAATATTACTGTATCGCTAAGTCGTAATATCTATGACTGCAGCAATAGATATGGGGCTTATTGTTGATTGTTGCAAACCATCACACTGAATATACTTCATGAAGAAACATATTTTTTCCGTATAATCTCTTGTAATATGTTCGTGAATGACAATACTAAATAAAAATTAGTTCGATTGTAAAGTATATTCTCATGCAGTCAGTATCATTCATCATAAATGTTGTTGTTTCTATTACACTCACAGGCGATATTTTTATCTCTGGCATTATACGTCCTTGCAATATATATGAACCCAATAGCCGTTGTGATTGTGTGGTGTATTTGCCTTCTCATATGTGCTCGGGATTATTTTTCGGTTATAAAATCAAGACGGATTTGACAAAAACTTTAGACGCTTATTTTGGATTCTTCCTGATGGTGTTCTTTGCAGGAATAGTTCTTGCTGGAATCTATTTCTTAAGAGATATAGAATTTGTGAGTAACTGTCTTTTAAATATTAGAAATCATATTGTTGTTAAGATTATATATGTGAAAATCTCAACCAACCGTAGCTTGGTAAAATCCGAACAACTGAAAAAGTAAGGTAAATGAAGAACTGCCTTGCATTCAAATACCGAAAATAACAAATATGTTATGCAGCTTTATTTCCTGAACCTTAAGGAAATTCATTTAATCTATTGGTATGCAATGATGAACACTTTGTCGAATTTCACTATTCACTTGATGAAGTGTTTTGTGGATTCACTTAATTTTACCATGAAATAAAATTAATTCATATCAAATAATATCAAATATGAAAAAAATTGGAGAGATTAGCTTTGTTACATGTCATGAAATGCGGCTCAATTTTTAATACAGAGAAATGAACAAACAGATGTATTCGCTGTAGTGGAAATACTAGTGGTTGGATTACAGGTACTGTTCAAGGTGCAATAAGGCTAAAGAAGGAAAATAGTTTTATGATCTGACCAACCATCAATAACACGGCCAACACTATCATGCATTATATTCATACATGCAGATATAAATAGAATCATAATCCACATATTAATAACACATTCTTTGTTTCATTGCAAATACGTTAAAACGCAGTTAATTCAATTCCATTGTAATCTGAAATTTCTTGATAATTGTAACCACAATAAAATTCCATGATTTTATATTTGCTAAAGGAAGGATATTATTGTTGATAAGATCATTATTTTCATAAAAGGTTGCTCATAGTATATCATCACACTTGCGTCATCGTTTGACGAATCACCACGACTGTTTTATAATCAGTATTTATTCATTAACATTTCTAGAGCATATTTAATTGAGTCTGACCCAATTACGCCACACTGTAAAGAACATAGTTCAACTACATGTTTTTTTATCTGACATGAATGATAAACGATTACACCTTTTTATTTAATCTGTCTCACCGCATACTATGTGTGTTTTCTTTTCTCTTTTGAATTCTAGGAAGGATATTTCATCATGGGAATTGCATTCCTCATACTTCTGCTTTCAGTGAGTTAAATATTTTGAGAATTTCCTTTTAAAAATTATTTGTAGTTTTCTCTGCATACTGAAAGTGTTCAGAAGAGAATCTGTGAATACATTAAAGACCGTTTGGTATTTCCATGATTTTTATTCGGAAAACAGGCAATACTGGTTGACATGAGCAGCTTCCGTGTACTCATGTCTTGTGATTATTCTACATTACTGGTTATGGCATCATTAGGCAGATCACAAGTTAGAAATTAAATAATTACTGTTTCCAATGGAACAAATTACGTTCTGAGTTAAATAGGATATTTCAAACAAGTTCAAAATACTCTCCACGGTGTAACACTGAATTCATTCAAATAAAAGCGTAGTCGTAAAACAGTACTGTATCGTCAGTAGTCAATCATAAGGCAATAGTAAAATCAAACCTTTAAAATAGGAATCAATTGCAAAAGGGAATTATTTCAAAGAATACGTGTACATGTTGGAAAGATGATGCACAAGTTGCAGAGAAAAAGGGTAATAATTAAACAACAAGTTGAGACATCCGTTTGAGCATTACTGTTGTAAATCGATTATTCAAAGGAGATTTTCGCAGCAGTTATCATACTACAATACATATTGTTGATGTAACTGAGTAATACTGATGGTAACTAAGTTGTTTTGATTGATTTGAAGTTAGTAAATCAAAGGCTTAGATTCTTCCCACAGTCGTCCCAAAAGATTTAAATTTCTGACAGGAAGAAGCTTTCTTTCACCTTTTATTATGTTTGTAGTCCTCAAAAGAAATTTATTCGGTATTAGATACGTCAGTAACCGATTTTCATTTTTTTTTAATTATAGTTGGTAGTTATTATTGGACAGGTAATTTTCAAACAAGGTTACCTAAACCTTCGTGACAAGTGGCCAATGAGTTTGTTATTACTCATTACGCTAATCGATATCAAGTATGCAATGATATTATCAGAATACCAATTAATCTTGACATTAAGCGGAGAATTAATTCCTCCAAAGGATGGTGATGATGATGTCAAGCGTATATATGAATGAGTACACATATATAGGAATATTAAAGTAATTTTGACTGTTATGTATACATTTTTTGTTCGTTTATTTGTACGGTTTTGGATGGATTTCAGTGTATATCTCATGGCGAAAGATCACCAGTTGCAAAATGGTCGAAACGAATTGTGCACTATATAGTTTTGGATTTCTTAGTTGTACTTATTTGCTACCCTCAATACATATCAAACCTACCGACTTAATGTTATGATATGTTCAGGGCTGAACATTGGAGAAGTAGATTGGAGTTGAGTGCACAATGAGTGAATGACATACGGACTCTCATAGGGACTTCAGTATGCAGACATCATTGACTGAGGGTGAACACGGTTTCAGTGATTCTTTAACTGATGTTTCTTCAAGACGGAATCTACACATCTGCATATTTACCAGTGAAAAGTTAGGATATTTCACCCTCAAATATGAATATTTTGAGACCTGATTGAAAGCTTTACCAGTTCTTAGGTGATCAGATTCGTGAAGAGGTTTCGCTGAAGTACAATGACTTCACTAACAGCATCTGATGCGGACTTCATTTATGACCAGCGAATATTCGATTAAAAGTTATGTATTCGGTTCTATCTTTGTAGTATAGTGCCAGATTTTTATTGGGCTGACTTCATTCAGTCGTTTCGTGATCATGATAACCTTTACAATAGCGCGTTTTAGTAACGTATGTCGGAATAATTCTTGTCTCTCCAATAAAACAGTGGTTAGTATTAAAGACGACTTTAATGACTGCATATCGCCATGAAAACTACAAAAAATGAAGCTTTCACTACTCTAAAAATGGAAATATCACAAATGATTACAGGAGCATTCTAGTTTATTCACAATGTTTCGGAGTTTATGTGGTTACTCAGAGGAAAGATTTTATCGAGAAACTCAACTGTCACCCGACTGCATACACTATTTTTGATACAAGTATGGAATTTCAGCATGTGATATAGGTAGCCCAAATTTAGCAGGCCGACCGTTGATATCACGTCTACTGTGTGAAGTCAAGCTATGATAAAAAAAAAAAATAAATTGATTATCGCCCCACAAAAATTCTCAGTGGTAAAACTGAAATAAATGGAAGCTTCTCAAATCCTCCATCAATATCATTTAGGTGAATAGTTTCAACACAGTTTAACGCAATAATGAGAAAGTTGCAGTGGAAAAACAAGCAGATTTAGGTTCCATTAAGTTTCAGAGGAATTCTCATCGCTGTATCATAAAATACCAAATCAAATATTATTCACTGTAAAGAGTGCAGAAAGCAAAAATTCCATGCAGAATTCAGATATAGGTGTTAACTTTTCAACCGACATGTATTAAGAGAAAATATATATCTACTGCGTCGGTGGCACAGTGATTAGGACGCCCGCCGACACTGCACATGGTCCGGATTCGATCCCCGGCCAACGTACTTCTTTACCTCGCTAAGCCAGGAATAATGCTGGTAAAGAGGAAAGGTTGGGCATGAGGCTAGCAACCCTATCCTGTAAAATTAAACACTGCTACAGAAAATTCAAGCCACTAGCTTGAGGCCATATGTTCCACTGGGAACTTAAAGGAAATAAAAAACTGCTGATATCAATTCTTGATAGACTTGGATATTTGAGATTTACGGTGATATCCGCTGGTATTCAGTGACTCAGTATCCTTATGATAAATAAAAAGTGATATTTTGTATCGGCTTTCATTTTGAAATCGACCATTTGGAATAGGTGGGCCACACTTATATGTCAAGACTGATGATGCTTCACAGTTTGTGAGATTAAAATAGTTAAAACGAAAGTATAGTAGAACTTGTGAACCGTTATCTGAGAATTGACGACTTAGTCCATTAGGTTATCTAAAGCAAAAATATTTTGTACAATAGACGAGGAGAGCTCATGACGTGAGGGCAGTAAGACAACACCTCCGGTCTACAGCTGTCTCGTCCGGCTTTGCCATTCTCAGTTCACATACACCAATTCACCAGAAGTGGAAACCAAGACCTTCATTTTCCTGGTACAAGAAATGCTACTTTAGTTACTGAGAAACAAATCAAATGAAGTATGATTTTCAACCTCTGTCGGTTTGTGATCTACCCACAATACCAGTCAGTGCTATCCGTGAGTATCAGTCTTCACGCTCGTCCAGAAGTCAGTCATTAGTCAACAGTTATCCATAGTTATAATTCGCAAATTAGGACTGGTGAATTGAATCAGTATTATATATGTCAGTAGGGAATCTACTTCTGACAACTTTTGTTCAACATTCTAAAATTAATTATGAGCGATGTTTATGCACAGTGCTACACTCTGATAAATTTCAGATGTTAAATAAATCTACATGAAAAAACAGCAATGTGTCAATAATGATGAATTGACTTGTGTGGCCCAATAAGTCTGCAGCTCTGTTTGTGAAATAATATTAGGTGTTCAGTTATGTCCATCCTTCACTGTATTCGTATTTGAAAATGAACTACATAAACAAACGATTTAGGTGGCGACGAGATCAACAGTATTCCCAATAGTAGCAGACAAATGTATGAACAGCTGGGAACCTAAAGCTCTTTTGACGGTTAATCCTGATCCTAGATTATGGTGGATACATGTGGATGACGCACTCCATCACTGTGTTGAAATTTGAACACATTGCCCATGTTTTCACAGAAACAAACTCATTATTAGACGGAATTTTCTGAGATAGAAAACGAAGAGAGTGATTCAGTTATTTATACCTGAGAATAAGATGAAAATAAGATGGTGGCTTATATTCTAGCATTCATAGGAAATTGTTGCACTCTTATACATTTTTAGACTTTAATTGGTCCTATCCAGAATCGGCAAACATAAGTCAAATGTCTATATAAACGTACTAAGAACCTAAATAGCAAGTCAGAAGATTGAAATAATGGAATCAAATAAATTAAAGAAATATAACTAGTAAATGACTACCCACGAGAAATTATTCAAAGGTGCATGAAGAACTATAGAAACATGTGATCAGTAATAAAAATGACAAAAACAATCAAGAATTCAAAGCATTCTTAGTACTGGTGTATAAAACAGGGCCATCAGGAGCCTTATCCACATAAGGGGTTCTTAATGATAGTGTAATTAGGGTGGCGTTTAAACCAACAAACCAGCCAAATCACTCAGAGATAAACTTACTCAGCTTAAGGACCCAATAGATCCAACTAAGAAAAGTGATTCAATTATCGTATACCATGTAATGACTCTGACGTCAATTGCATAGGTCAGAAAAGTAGATAGCAGTCGGTTAGTTTATTGGAATATAGGAATTTAGGTAGACCTGCAATAATTAACCACGCTGAGTGAATAACCTAGAAAAGAGTTTAGTCATTTTATTGCTTTCACTTGCATGTTATCAAAAAATATGACAGAACAGGATGGAAGCATCAAGAAGTAATGTAGTAAGGTGGAAAAAGGTTAAGCACTGAACCTTCCTTTAATTGATTCAACACCACACACGTGCAGCCGAAATATCAGAATGCCTACGCCAAAGATATGGAAAGTAACAAGGGGAAGAGGGAGAAACAGAACCAGGAAAAATAGATACAAGACTATTTATGCAGTTGTGGGACTTAATTGACATGATTATGAGCAGTGATGTATGCTAAAAATGTCATCCAGTTATTAACGCCGTGTCAGTATGTGACATTCGGAATAAACTTCTCTGATATGGAATTACATTCTAGCACAGAGCCCAAGTTCTAAACTTATGTCATACGTCACAGCTCATTATTGAAATGAATAATATATTTCTCACAACTGATAGGAAGGAAGCTTACCAACAGTTGAGTAGAGTGTAGTACAGTGGAATAGGCTGAGTAAAATATCTGTACTTCTTTAATTATCATGGAAGACTCTGTTGACGAAAGTGTAGGTAAGAAAAAATAGGTTTGCTTAAACCCAGGTTATTCGTACATAACAGAAGAAAAAATTAGATCTTTAATGGTGCCATAAGATTAGAACCAGAGAAAAGCTAAAGAAATACACCTACAGTTTGCAAAGTGAAGAATGTACATTCAAGGCCGAGTCGGAGAATCAAGACAGCAATTCATTTGTCTGAAATCAGTATGGAAAACAACTGCAAGCAATATATTAAAATATTTAAGAACATGGAACATCAAAGACACGTCAGTTGGTACTGCAGACAATTGAGTGAAGCGTTATCAAAAGCATTTCCAACAGTTTCTTTCCTTCACGTTCCCCAGTGGAACATATGGCCTCAAGCTAGTGGCTTGAATTTTCTGTAGCAGTGTTTAATTTTACAGGATAGGGTTGCTAGCATCATGCCCAACCTTTCCTCTTTACCAGCATTATTCCTGGCTTAGCGAGGTAAAGAAGTACGTTGGCCGAGGATCGAATCCGGACCATGTGCAGTGTCGGCGGGCGTCCTAACCGCTATGCCACCGACGCACAGTTCCTAACAGTTTGCTGTGGACGATTGTCAACAGCTGACTTCCTCCAATACAGAAACTCATGTAGTGGGCCAGGAAATATAGGCAACCTGGTAGCCTTTCAGTGCAGCGAACCGACCAAGAATTTATGAATCTTCAAGTTAATGAAGGTTGGCAGGAAAGGCTTGGCGAATAAGGTCGAGTGATATAGCGTGTCAAGCCAAAACTTCACTTGAAACTAGATAGAGGGTGACAAGTTGGCCTCTGATGCGAGCATGATTTCAAAGCAACTGTATGGGGAGAAGATGATAGCACTTGAGTGATCGTGGAGTTGCCTTGACAGAAGAGCAAAGAACAAGACGACGTGGAGATGTGCTGCTTGAACCACATGTTCCATGCTAATTCAAAAGAATAATTATATTGACAATTCTAATGATAGTTATACCAGTATTTTAGCCATTCTTTATTCTCATGAAAGATTTCGTCTATGCTCGGAGGTTAATCATACTATTTTGCATGAAGGCAAAGTTGTTTATCAGTTGTACATTGTGTACTAATCACAGTGAACTTTAGACTGTTTACGTGAAGATATTTTAAATGATGTTTATTCTTCTACATAACTATTTATGGTAATGTTAATAGTGTAAAACAATAGGGAATAAAGAAAAATAACAATTGCGCAACCTGATCAGCTTACGCAGGTTACGAAAATAAACAGAAATCAACTGGTGTTAGTAAGAATCTAAAATAATTCGTTTATTCTAAAATGTTTCTCACTAGATTTCAATCCAAAGTACACTGATGAAAAACTTTAAACCGTACAGTTTCTCAAGGAATATTTTGTTTATTCAGCTATTTTCGTCTACGAAACTAAAAGTAGATGTTTTATTTGTCAAAACAAATAAATATCATTAATTGTTTTTGTTATTTTCATCAACAATTGGAAGAAGTCAGAATTTATGAAGTCTTTTATTTCATTAGTTGAATTGTTAGACAGGCTGCCTTCTTCATAAGCTAAACATCTTACATATTTACTGAATTAGATGTCGAACCAGTTGTCTAGTATGCTGAGGGTACTCAGTCGCTGTCTAACGGATGGAATCTATTACTTGGAACATATTCAAAAGCCAATCAATTAGGTTAAATTAACTTTCTTGAAAACAAAGTTAATTTTCTTTTCATTACTAATGTCTGTTATGAGTCAACAGACCACTGTGCAACAGCATGCAGTCCGAAACAGTAGATGCTGGCGGATGTAACTGAGGAGTTTGAAACTGTGTGAGAGAGAGAGAGGAGGAAATGAACATTCCAGGTTATAATTATCTTTACTTGATGTTCAAACTGGAACATTGAGCCTGAGTAGCACATCTGTTATCCACCTGATATAACTGCACGATCACCCAAGTGCTCCCATCTCCTCCACATCATTCTCTTACCTGTACCCAACCCTTCGTTTCCTATTAAGGCTTTACTGCAGTTCTGGTTAGGGACAAAATTTCCCCCAACTGTTTTCTCAGCGTCTGTCCTATCCACCTTCATTTCATTGGGAATATTTGTTGGGTTAAAGGTTCTTGGTCGAATCACTGTAGTGAATAACTAAACACACTTACACAGATATGGATACACACAAGTACATGAACAGTCACGCCTTATGAGTAATCAAATAGAGACAGGAAGAAGAGCGGAATTCCCATTGCACTTCACCTTCATCAAATTAGTACTGATTTGATTTGAAACAATTATCGGTTAATTTCGAGTCACACATGGTGCGGAAAACCTACACAGATGATGGAATCCAGTGAAAGACAGGCATAAATATAACATGAAAAGGAAACAACCAGTTCGATAGGAAGACGTTCACTGTCTAATACTTATAATGTATTCGCACTTATGTCATAAATAGTAATAGAAAAGTTAATAGAGTATAAAAGACCCCGAATGGATGAAGGCGCGTCTTCATCTTGATTTAGACATTGAAATCACAGATACAATAAAACGGAAATCATTGTTATGCGAATAGCTTTTGATTCGAAAATTTGGTTACTTGGCAGATTCCATTGTAACAGTCACTAATTTAAGTAAGCACCTTATTAGAAAAGTTTGTCTTATAGCAGATACGTTGATGATATCGCAACTGTCTGTGAGGAGCTGATGATAACTATGGATATTTTTAGACTTAAAGAACACAACCTTAGACCTGTGTGATAGGAAATAACGATCGTCTATCATTTGTAGGTGTAGTCATAACTGGTATATAAAGACTGAAATCACTTTAAATTTTAGTTTATCAAGAAGCCTAAAGGGCCTTTCCTGATTTAGTTCTCCTCATAGAAGAACACCACCTAATAGGAAACGCGTCGAAAACAATTTATGAATGAAGCTTTACAGTCAGTATAAATGTTGGGCGAAATATACAGTGTGAATAATGCAACTTCATTTAGAATCTAAGGGAAATATAGTTTTAAAATTATTCATTCACGCCCTTTGATTTCCTGCTCATATATCTCAGCTCATTGATAATCTGTATTTCATTATTTGAGTTCCTTGAATAAATGCCTTGATATTACAACAGAGAGATACTGCTATATTACCTTTGCATATATAGAGAAGGCACATAAATGGAGTGGTCAGACATAATGATAAGAAGTGTATATTATTGTGTTTTTATTTTTATCTCCTTTGAGGAAATTCACAATATGGTTTGATTTGGATGGATGACTCCTGTAAACGAATTTATCTGGTAGTTTGATTAGAGAACCATTGGAAAACCTGGGAGTACTGGACAGCTGTTTCGTCCTAGTTTGGGGCTCTTCAGCAGTACGCACCCAGTACTCCCAGGTTTTCCAATGGTTCTCTAACTAATGTCAGCTCATGATGAAATCCTGAAATCAATCAAATCCCTACAAACCAACACTTGAATACCAATAAGATGCTCACTGGCGACTGGCCCTATTCAGGTAGGTAGTTACCTGGGTTCCAGTGGGAAGTCGTGACCAGTAGGGTGCAGCTGTTCGGGTGTGAGGACAAATACTCGCCGAAGACATTGGCTAGCGGTCGCGCTATGTCGTGAATTGGCAGAAGTTAGAATTCAAGGACCATTGGATCGGGTCCCAGTGACTTAATGGTATACGAGCTCGCCTTGTAACCGGAAGGTCCTGGGTTCGAATCCCGGTGGGTGCGTACTGATGAAGAGTCCCAAACTAGGACGAAACAGCTGTCCAGTACTCCCAGGTTTTCCAATGGTTTTCTAACTAATATCAGCTCATGATGAAATCCTGAAATCAATTAAATCCCTACAAACCAACACTTGAATTATCTGGATTAATTAATTTGCATGTCATTTATTGATATGCAGTGAAAAGAGAACTAGTATGGTTACACCGAAATGCTCTGAGGGAGTTTTTATTTTTGGTAGATTGTTTGTCAGCTGATGATGAACTCCAACTGATCAAAATTATATGAGTTGTGATCAAAGGTTGACCTCAGACTTACAACTTTTAGTCTACTTTCATTAAACTCTTTCAACAGAGTGTACTTTTTATCAGAATACATTCGACTAAAAGTTCCTGATCTTAGATAACTGAATATGAAAGTATAAGTGTATTTGCAGTATACAATGGTGTGTGCATGTGTGTATATGTAAACAGTTGTTCGGAATTTTCCAACCTCTCCATAAGAAGATACAGACATGTATGATTAATTAGTGATACATATTCATCTTTTATTTCTTAATCAGGATTCACCATCCATCAGCTAATATCACATCTTCACGTCTGTTCAAACAGTTGGGACCTACCCATATATATGTAGGGCTCCAATAGAAACACACATGAGTACATGCGATCAGCTAATGCATTACCACAATTCTGTTGGTTATTTCTATCCATGTAACAATAACTTGTTCGAACTTCATCAATGCTTTGTTCGCCTTTATATGAAGTGTTTAAGTTGTGGAAGTTAGACAGTAAATGACTGACTAACTGACTGACTGATTGTCCGCCTGAATTCCACTTATCATCATCAGACAAAAATTGAAACTCAAAGTTGTAGCCATAACTAAGTAGTGAAACTAATTCCCAGTTTGTATGTAGAGTTGATAGATGTCTATCAATCTATTCCTACATGCTACTTGTCTATTCTTTCGTCACTTTCTTATATATTTCCTGCCTACACAGGTGTCAGTTATGGTTGGACAACTGATCTTCAAATCTGATCACTTACATATTCGCGATGATTGGTCTACGGGTGCACTAGGCATGTTCACACTAGTTATCACAGCGTTTGTAATAGCAGAGGTGGACATCTACTGTTTCAGGATCATGAAGTAATTTATGTAATGGGAGAATTCCTTGAGCATTTGTGTTTTTCACAGTTAAACAGTGAATGGATAAGTCATCTATGCAATTAATAGTAGCTTTTGTTCTTAATTTTCTTATTCTTTATCAATAACATAAACTGCAGTATAGATTCCTCTTATGCACCAACTTAAACAGCCTTCATAATCTTCAGGAATGTTTCGACCACTACGGTTATTTATATATTGACGTATGTTGATGATAGTGTTGTAATGTGTAACCGCGATAAAGAGGTAAAACCAATTGATAAAGAAAACTAATTCTGTACATCACTAAATCAGAGTAACAACTTGGAAGAATTTATTTTATTATTATTTTTTTAGGTTACAGCTTGATTCCACACTGTATTTTTGGTACAAGTATGGAATTTTCAGCATGGATATCGGTAGCTCAAATAGTGCAGGCCGACCATTGATGTCAGGTGTGCGGCGGCAGGGGATCGAACCCCAGACCATGTGCATGGTTGGCGGGCGTCCTAAACGCTGTGTCACCAGCGCACGCTGAAAGTAGTCCACTCTTTTTTTTCTCAAGTCTGCAAGGAATAATTGTTTCCACTTTGTTTGCCTTCCAAGTGTAACATTGGGTATTTAGCTCAGAAATCTCCTTAGCAGTGGTGTTATTCTTCACGATATACAGGTTTAGGCTGCTAGTCTCACACCCATCCAGCTGGTGGCTAGGCGACATTGAGGAGTGCGTCAGCCAAGGATCAAACTTCAGACAACGTGAGCCATGACTGACAAGCATCTTACCACCGAAGCACTGATGCGTCAAACAGGAAACAGGTTAATTAAAAGGAATAATTGACAGAGAGTCTGCTTGGTCAGGATATTACTTGTTTCGATTCAAGACAGTTTTAAGTAGATTTTTAGAGGAGTCCCGAGTATGTGTATAGCTGTCTGACACTAATATTAATAATAAGGACAATAATAATGATAGTAAAGTACTGAGTAATCCACTTGTAGAAAATAGATATACTTTAAACCATTTGGAGAATTAAAACAAATAGTTCCTTTGATAAATTTGAATAAGGCATTAAGAAGACAAATTTCGCGAGATGATATCTATTCGTAGTTTCTTTACAACCGCTTTACAACTACTAACATGGTTAACAATAATAAAATAAAATTCATGACAATTACTCAGTTAAATAAAATAAAAAAGCACATACTAATTACCAACCATAATTTAAGTAGATGATGTAGTCCATGGTAGGCTAAGATTGAAGTCTGCTGTTTTTTGTACACGCAATTTAGACTGTATGTGATTAATCCAAAGTGCTTCCATCACCTTCGATAACCTTGAATTGGAGTTATGTGAAATATATATCCAAACCAAGTTCACTTTTAACAGTTTGAAATAATTTGAGCATTGAGTATATGATATTCATTATAATAAAGGTTTTTGTATTTCCCAATGAATGAAAAACAAAACGATATTGTCATTGTTTTTACTGACGTTTCGCTATTTAATGCTAAAAGCATTATCAAAGTATTATTAAACCGGAATTTACAAAATCTCAGCATATATATAACAAAGAGTTAAGTGGTAAGAAAATAGACTTAGGTCAAGTTAAACGGACATATTGAAAGTCGAAATAACAATGAATATCACTAAAACAAATTTCAAAGGTAGTAGTACATCTGTAAAATTTTAGAACTATTCCGTCAAATCTTGACGACAGTTCATTTGTAATAATACATCTGTTATGATATCAAAACAAAGTCTACTAACTTCATCATCGTTCGTCAGTCTGGGTCATTTTTCGTTGTCAACTTGGTAAACAGGTAGAGATAACAAAATCAAATGTAGATTGTTGGATTTGATCAGTTTGTGACATTATAAAAGTTATGTGTGTTTGCATAGTGAACTTGCTTATCATATTCGTGTTGATTTTGCCACTTCGTTGAGGAGGGGAGGGAGGTGTTGTAACCATTGTCAGATTCTGTTTTAGTCCATCATTCCTGTTCAGACAATTTGGATTCCACTCCATATCAAGTGGAATTGGAACATTCTACTGCGTTTACCCATATAGTTGTCACCGGAGCAGCAGGTGAAGTTGTAGATAAGGTTGAAGTAGAGTACAAAAAAATTTCATCCTTTAATCGTAGGTACGGGGATCGAAAATGTTCGGCAAATGAGAAATAGTGATTCGGATGGAGAATGACCAACATTAAAATTTAAATGTCACTGTCACTACAATAAATGTGTACATTGAAAAGTCAGAATGCAGAGTAAGCAAGTAACATGCTATTGAGACAAAGAAAGCAATGTCTTGTCGATCAACACAACGTACTTGTAGTTCTTTGTATTAAGTTTATAGAGGCATAAAGATATTCACCATGTAAACATTTGTCAGCTGGATGTAAGTTGAATAAGTAAATACTTATAATTTGCAATAGATTTTGGCGTCATCACTAAATCATTAGAAATTAAAAAACACAAATTACAGGTATTGATGAAATTTGGAGACGTCAGATAATTGACATATTCAAGCATAACCTCAATAAACGTTCCCCATATATCATAGGTGAAAGTAGAAAAAATATAATAAGAAAAGTGATCAAGCTCAACAAAAAAGATAGGAAAGATATTTGCGAAAATAACTTGTATTTAAAGGGCTTCTATTCTACTAAGTCTGAAGTTTTTGTGAAAATACAGGGTTGGATACCGATTAAGACTGATGCATTTTATACAGAATGGTTTATTTTCACAATGTTCTGAATAAATGAAGATATAGAGAGCTAATGCAGAACGTGAGCAGTAGTGACAGCTGTGCCATATGATAGATACTACTGATTTATTTGAGTAATTGTAGAATACTGGAGACCACAAATGTGCTTGGTACCTAGATTTAGGTGATATGAACACCATGTATGTACATAGAACATTCATATGCATAGCAAAACTGTCTTCAGTAGCCTCCAGTCGACTAAAATCTCCTAAGGAATATTACTCATGCTACTGACAAGATCCCGTCTTTGTTTTATGATATGGAATGTATTCTCCAAGAATGCTGATGAGAGGAGCTGTGGATCATTTTTCGAAGGGAGGAAAGAAGAGATCATAAGCAACAAAAACGTTTCTATTTCAAGCTTTCCTGCAACGAATGAGAGTCACGTCATTGCATGACTGGGAGTGTCATAGAGGGGGTCGTGCGGAAAGGGAATTAAAAAAACTGTAGGCAGTCGTCGACGCAACTAGAAGTGATGAAATAGAATCGAATCCAATGGAAATGTGCTGCTGAAGCTGTAAATTCAACTCGCAGTGAAAATATCTGATTGCATAGTGAGTGTTGTTGGAAAAGCCTGAGATATTTGCGTAATTCCTAATAGAAAGCATGACTAAATATCAGCTTTTCGGGGCAGTTTGTATGAATATACAGTCCTATTAAAACCTACCTACGGTTCATACAATAACAATCTGCTGGTATAATGACGCTGAGAAGAGTATTGATATGATTACACCCAGTGGTGACGTTATGCCAATTCATCGTATTGTGGAACAGCGAGTACCTTCATGGTACGTGTTAGAATAAGTCCTTTCAAGAAGACACGAGAATACCAATCTGCACACACTCATTTATCAGTTCATTATACACTTAACCTAGTGTTTCCATATAAGGAACAATAGTGAAGACAAAGTTGATCGTGAAATCAAGCTTATTTATATGTCTCTGATTCCGATTTATTTTACACCTTATGCAATTTTTCGGTCTTCTTTATCTCACTAGTGAATCTCTCAGTTTTATTTTGATGCAGTCATGGATAATAATTTATACCGAATATCTCAAATAGAGATAAATTTTCTAAAAACTGATGGCGAGAAATTCATGGCAACACGTTAGTGCAGATGTTTGAAAATTATAACGCTTTCAGGTATAACATCATTTAAAATTTTAGAAACAGTTGGTAACGAATTGAATGGATAATTCCTTCGAATGACCGAAATAATGACAATCTAGAAGTAGTTTAGACTGAAAAAGACTTCTGTGAATACTTAAGCAACAGTCTACTTTGTATAATTATCATCCGATGAAACCTTCAGGTTACTAGTCAGCTACGTTGACCATTCAGCCACTGGAACACAAGTTAAAATTCATAAGCAAATGGATTATGATGCACTGGCTGGATGGTCATAGAGTTCGCCTTGTAAGATGACAGTCAATGATTCGATGACCTGTGGGGTCGTGGTTGCGCGTTGACGAACAGTTCCAAAGTGGAATGAATCGACTACCCGGTAGTACCTGTTGGTTTCTAATGGTTGGCTAAGTGATATAAAGTGGCAATAAACAGAAATACCATGATGTATTTGGAGCATGCAAGAGCACTTATTGACTTGACATTAGTGTTGAATATCCGAATCTATTTTATTATATCGAGTGTATTGGATTTCCAAAGTGACTTCAAGTAAATAGATGTCTATGGTACATATGTAAGAACACAAACTTGTACATATATTAGGATGTACAATGTGTTGATACACATGTCCTGTGAACCGCATGCATGCACATTGGCATAAATCATTTTACATATAGTCCAGTAACTAGATAAATGAACGACAGATAATTGCTCTGGCGCAGCACCAGACCTAATCGACCTAGCCGAACACATGGTTTAGTTCAAACTCCCAACGGAATAAGTAGGCTTTCGCAGCCAATCGTCAGATATAGTATCCACCTCTGAACGAGATTCAGACTAAGAGGCTTTCAGTCCTGGTACCTCACATGGTACACCATTAGTATTTTTGACCAAGCACATACACCAGCTGTCTCACTTGTGGTTCCACTCATGATAAACACGAGTATCAAAGCAATGTCCAGACTGTAGTTCAATCAATAACGTACTCATTCCTACGGTAGGACTTGTCTCGCAATTTTTCAAACCCATTTCATGGTTCCACCTTGGAAAGTATAGAAGATTCAAACTTTCTCTCTTAACTTTTGAACCAAAAATTTTTTTTTTATTTAGTGGAGGTAAAATGTATCTTTCATTCCTCCTCTATCAACTTTCAAGTTTTCCGTCTTCATTTGCAATATAAATCAATTTTAAATCATTTATTGAATCTGTGATGTGAACGTATTGAATGTTTGAACTATGTTTTGATCATTTATTTTCTGTTGCCTTCTACATACATGTGTATGACAACTACGTGTGTTCTGAGAACGAACAAAATATGTCACACAAGTACGTTACAAATTTTAGATAAATGACGTCTTCTTAATGAATATCAACCTCGCTCTTCTGATCCTACCCGAGTTCGACATCCTTTGCCATACAGCCAGTAGCTGAAATTCTATAGCACATTATTAATTCCAGTCATGCAGTATTAGTACTGA